AAGCAGACAAAGCTGCACTAACAAAACAACTAAAAATACAACAATAATTAAAACACACACCTAATGAACAAATAAACTAGAACCTTCCCTACACCTAACACTCTCGAAGCCTACCCACCTAGGACCGCACACAATCCACATCCACTAACAAATGAATCCAACAAAGCCACAGACCGCAACCTCAAGCCCGAAAACTGCGGCTACTCGTGCCGCCTAGACGGATCTGAAGAAGAGACTGCTCTCGGTTTAGATCTGGACTCCGCAAAACCAATCTCGCTAGGGGGAGAAGAGGAAGCAGTAGAGAGGGCACCAACTCGCCAAAGCCGGAGTGCTCGAAAGAGAGATCGAATCGGACGGCAAGCCGCACCAAAGGACCCTAGACGTGAATGACAGAACTCTCGGCATAACATGGTTGGTACCTCCTCGAGGCTTGGGCTTGAAATCTTGTTGTCGGCGGTCTCGTCCATGGCCGGGGATGGCTAGGAGGCAAAGCAACTCGGACCTAACGGGTTGAGAGCTCTCCCTCCCACTCTCCCACAAAGCCCGGAGGAGACGGAAATGTCCTCGGCCTTGAATCTACGATCTCCTCTTCCAGTGGGGCGGCGACGAGCTTGAAGGTGTAGGAGGGGCGGCGAAATTAGCAGAAAGGACTGGTTTTTAGGTTTAGGGGAGAGGAAGAAGAGGGGCGCGTGAGCAGGACACACATACGAAGTTAATATTGAGCAAGTGCAAAAGAATATGTGATAAACTATGTGACAGAAAGTCGAATTTAATTAAGCAAGTGGGATAGCACAGGGGCATCTATACCCCAGAGACGCACCCTCCTTCATGAGGACATTCCCCTCCGGCTTTGGATGCTCATTCGGATGGACCATCTAGGGTAATCTTTCAGATTCGGTCGACCGCCACCACCTGATTTGACGTTTTGGACCCCATGCCAGGCCACTCTGACCAGGACGACCTTTTATGAGGATTTGATTTGTACTTTTTATTTTTCTATTTTTGATGTTGCCATATGTATTTTCGACTTTAATGTAGACCACTGATATTTTTAGCCCTCTCTGGGCCCTTATATTCACAGGTCGAGGGTGTAGCCTCAATCCCCATCCCATTATGGGATGTTTACATAAAAAAATAAAAAAATAAAAATAAAATTAAGCAAGTGCGAAATAAATATGCAAGGTTCACTGCACTTGACACCTGTGGGTGTGGTTGAGCGAACTTGGCTGCTACGACATTCGCGATCATTTTGTTAAGCTCATCCCTGGTGAACGTTATGACTTGCTCGTCGGCTGCAACAGCCTCTCCTGCCATTGATGACCTCCTCTTACCGCACTAAGGTGGGTTTGGCTACAATCATGGTGTTAGAACAATCTCCAAGCCTGATCTTTCTTTTTGTTGAGCCATCGAACCACCAGTTGCTGCTACAGTCTGCAGAGAACCTCCAAAACCCGAGAGATTGGGAATCAGGGTCATCGGCGTCTGAGCAGACATCTAAAAGCCTGGCAGTGGGTCTGCTCCAATCGGCCGACTGCTCTAGGTTCTTTCTGGGATTGTCGCTCACCATGGTAAATGGTGTTTGATGGCTTTTTGAACGAAGATTCCTCGGGCGGTGCCAAATGATAGTGCAGAAAACCTCAACCGGAACTACATCCTTGATTCATCCATAAACCGGTGAAACTACCTACAAAACAACACCGACGGTTGTC